AGGCAAATTTCATAATTAGCGTTGCATGGTCTTCGGCGGCTACTGTATTCTTATGTGGCATTTCGACAGTCGTCAGACGTCAACGCTTTCCGCGTGAAATAGACGTAGTGCCTGAAGACTTGGCCTTGAATCTGTTTATAGTAGGATCGACTTGCGAAGTGTCTGTTGCTTTTTATTGTCCCTCACCTGCCTTTATTCGAAAGCAGATCACTGCAGATCACTGCTGCAATTGTTTTGCGTTTCCTAGATCAGAATTATGGACAAAATTTATGCTGCGAGCATAACCGGAGAAGTTTACTAAATTTTCTTTTAGACGTTGCCAATGAGTGGTACTGCATGCCGTTTTTGCCCTCGGCAACTCCATTCTTGGCGGTGAGGTCATTTTGTCCCAGCAGTCTGTCGGGAACAGCCGAGCTACCTGCTGCTGTTACAGGCCAAGTAGCGACAATTATCTGCGTGTACTAGGTGCGCTGTCATCTAGTTTTGCGGGCTCATTGCGGTTTGCACTTCTGGGTGAAGGGAGAAGAGGTGAAAGTAGTCACGTCTGGCCTGCTCTCCTTATGCAACGCAGCCTTAAATTGCCTACGTGCACTGCTTCCGGCACTTGCTCTGATTATTCGTTTTCTTTCTGGTCTTGCAGTTGTACTTAGGCATGTTGTCTCAAGTTAAAATCCTAAAGAAGACTCCGGCACCACTATCAATGTGTTGACTTTTATGTTGCTAAGTGCTGCTAACGGAATTCACCCCTTCCCTCACTGTGTCGGGACAGCAAAGAGCGTCTTGAAGTGCCTGTCCCAAAAATCATGCTTTCTTTCCATGTTTTTCTACAGACAACGACGAGCACTGCATAGTTTATAACGATGCTGCCCTGGAGCGACTACTAGATCGTAGTCAACAGGGCATGCAGGAAAAGGAAATGGAGATGAATGACTATCTGAGCTCCTTCAAGGTTGCCCACTACGAAAAACGAGAGATCCAAGATGAGGAAGAGGAGGACGTGGACGATGAGGATCAGGAAGACCGAGAGGTTTGTCAATGCGCCTAGCTGCGC